GAGGTGGGTGGCCGGACGAACGAACGGCCGGCCAAAACGTGGCCGGCTGCGCTGCTGTCACGCGGAGAAGAGAGAGACAGCACGCAGGAGAGAGAGAGAGAGAGAGAGGGGTTTCAGATTTTATTAAAAACCCATTTCGAAATATTTACAATTATGCCACTGAAGGTATTTTGATCGTATCTCTCTCGTCACAACTCCGATTCGAGCCCACTACGTGTCTACGGACTCATCTCGCCGTGCTCTACGCAACGGTACTGTTGAAATTTCCAAATTCCATCCCGATCAAAAAGTCAACTCTAAACCTCACAAAATAATCTAAGGGCAAAATGGTCCTTTTATCTGAATAAATTAATATGCACCAATTTATTTAGGACCGGGTCCTTACAGAGAGGGTGGGGGAGCCAAGGAGGAAGATGGAAGGGACCTAAATATTAAATGGGTTTCTTTTTTCTTTTTCTTTTTTATATTTTCGGTGTGAAATTCTTTTATTTATATAACAAATTATGTCATTAAAATAGATGAGATGGCAGATGACATGGGTTGCCATGTCATGTACCACATGTGTTGGTATCCAAAAGTTGGTAAACAAGTTGGTGCCCGTAGCGTTATTGTTGTTTTAATATAAGAAACAAAATTCTTAATGAAAAGAAGAAAACTACAAGAAAGATGGACAAGGTCTACAAAATAATCAGTCTTACTTTCAAGTTTCAATAAACAGAGCTCACATTACATCAACTCATATTCCCCCCCAATCAAGATGAATTACACTATGTTGGATAGAGATGCCCATAGAAAGGCTAGAATTTAAATATATCCAAAGTAAACTCACACCCTCTTTATCACAAATAAAACCCATTATTTACTTCCAAATAATCTGCAAAGAAGCCAAACCTGGTAATCGCCTTTTTGTTGGCATCCAAATAATTCTCCACTAAAAAGAAATAACTTATAGGACAAAACACACCAAGTAGGAAACAAAGACTTTCTTAAACAAGTCAGAAAGTACAAGGAACTAAAGAATTTTCTCTAAAGAGCCTACAATCCCAACTTATCCGTCCTACAAAAGAAACTCCACAACAAGCATAAAACAAACTGAAAGTGTACTTTTAGTTGGCTATTTCCTAGCAAATGTAAAGAGTCTGTAAGTTGGTCATTCCTAGTCTTAGAATTAATTGTAACTTGCAACGGTTGGAGCTTGCGGTAAACGAGGAGCATGATTGACTAGTGTTACACGGCAAAGCTCTTTTCTGATAAGAATAATTTGCATTCATATTGGATTTGGTTTCCCAATAAAAGATTGAGTTGGTGTAAAGTCTATGCAAATCTTCATAGAGTCTTAAATAAGGAAGTGGTTTAAATAAGGCCAATCTCTTTGTTTATTAGGAAAAAGAGTTAACCTAGTATATAAAGGGTTGGGCTGAAAGTTTTTCTTGAACACCTCATTTTTTGCACTCTAATCAAAATCGTGAGATTGTTTTATAAGATCAAGGGAGAGAGATAAAAGGCTGTTAAGTTCTTAGATTTATCTAGGTGATAGTCTGAGAGCATAACATATCATTCATTCATCATGGAACGTTGCGGAAGCTTTGCTTGTGAGGAAGATCAACCTGCGTGAATTGGTGTTCATCCAACAGAAAGTGAAGAGGACGTGTTTGTACAAGACAAGAGTATTTGATCAATCTTCTTTTGTGGTGTAAGAAAGTATCAATTGAGTCTTGTATATGTCCTTACGTTTTTAGTGAAATTGGCTGTGTGCCTTGAGGTTTTTCTCTCCTGTGTGGAGGGTTTTTTCCTCGTGCGAGATTTCGTACAAATATGTTGTGCTTCGTTTATATTCTCAGTTTGTTGTGTGTTTGATTTTTGCTGTGTAGTACAAGGATTAAATCACATATCTAGAGAGATCATAGGGACTACTGTGATGGATCGAGCAACTGGATCAATCTCACATCCGCCATACTTTGATGGTGAGAACTATGCTGCTTGGAAAGCAAAGATGAAGGCGTTTCTTTGGTCACTAGATGCTTGTGTTTGGAACACGGTAGTTTTTGGTTACTCTCCTCCAACCAAAACTATAATAAACAAATCAAAGACAATGTCTGATGAAGGTAAGGGAGATAGTGATGTTGTCACTGAGGAAGTTGTTTTCAAACCTCATGAAGAATGGACACTAGCTGAGCAAACTCACTCCATGAATAATCAAAAAGGATTAAATGCTCTATTTACTACCTTATCTCCTGATCAATTCTCTAATATTTCAAATTGTGAGACCTCCAAGGAGGCTTGGGATATCTTGCAGGTCACATATGAAGGAACAAATGCTGTTAAAGAGTCAAAGCTTCAAAGGTATGTCACTCAATTTGAAATTATTAGAATGGAAGAAGATGAAACCTTTTCTGATTTCTATGCGAAGTTAAATAGTATTGTCAATGCTTGTGCTAATCTTGGAGATAAAATTCCTGAATCTAGAGTTGTCAAAAAGGTACTTAGATCACTATCTACTAGGTTTCAACCTAAGAAAACTGCAATTGAAGAAGTTAGGGACTTAAACACAATGAAAATTGCAGAATTAGTTGGGTCTTTGAAAACCTATGAAATGGAACTTCCTACTATGAAAAGGAGTAAAAACATTGCTCTAAAAGCTGTAAAAGAAGAATGTGAAGAAAGTGAGGAAATTGGTGATGAGGAATTTGCTCTAATCACTAGACAGTTTCAAAAATTTCTCAAGAGTAAAAACTTTAAGGGAAAAGGAACGAGTTCAGGATCTAAACCCTTTAAGTCAAACAACTTTAATTCTGAAAATGGTTCCAGACTTGTTAAACAAACTGAGGGTCGAAAATGTTATGAATGTCAGGGTTTTGGACATGAGGCAAAAGAATGTGCTAATACCTTGAAGAAATTAAAATCTGAAAAAAAAAACAAAGCCATGAAGAGTACTTGGAGTGATAGTGATCAATCATATTCAGATTCGAACAGTGAGGTAGTTGCATTTGTGGGATTTGCAAATATCAATGATCTAGAGGAATCTGATAGTCAGGAGCTTGATGCGGAAGAAATACTTCAAAAATATAATGAACTTTATCATGTCTCTATCAAAATTAGAAAGCATAGTTCTGATATGAAAGAAAAATTGAAAAATCTGGAAACTGAGAAAAGTAAGATCGAAACTGTGTTTCAATCTCGTTTGTCTGAACTTGAGAAAGAAAACAAGTCACTGACTTCACAACTTGAGGCTTCTAAAGAAAAAAACATAAGATTAACCATTGGCACAGAAAAGATTGACAAAATGCTCAGTATTGGAAAATCCAGTGGAGATAAAACTGGTTTGGGTTTTGATGGTTCTACCAATAGTTCTTCGGGAACAACATTCGTGAAAGCTTCAGGTACGTATGCTATGCCTAAGACTTGTGTTCTTACCTGTCATGCTTGCGGTGAGGTAGGTCATATTCGACCTTTTTGTGACAAAAAATATTTGAATCATTCTGATACGTTTTCTATTGGTGCAGTACGTACACAACTCTCAAATCTCTTGAGAGAAGCGAATAGGTTGTCTAAACTTGTTCATATTCCAAATTCATGGTTGCCTAAGATGAAACTTGTGTGGAGAGAAAAGAAAAGGACTAAATCAGTGAATGAATCACATTGTTGTTTACTTACTCATTCTTCCATTAAGTCCAATGATTTCAAATGCTTTGTTGCCTTTACTGCCTTGGATTCTTACAATCTTAACAAGTGGTACTTTGACAGTGGTTGTTCAAGGCATATGACAGGTGATAAGGTGGTTTCAGACGTTCTCAGATAAAAAGGTAAGAGGCACGGTAACCTTTGGTGATGGTAAGAAAGCCAAGGTTTCAGGTGAAGGTACGGTTACAGCACCTGGTTTACCTGCTTTGCATAATGTTTTACTTGTTGAAAACCTTACTGCAAACCTTATGAGTATTAGTCAACTATGTGATGATTTTGGTAAGGTTATATTTGATGAAATTGAATGCATAGTAAGTACAAAAACAGGTGAAAAGGTCATTTGTGGACCAAGGTCTGATGATAATTGCTATTGTGCTATGGCTAATGGTTTGAATGTTTGCTACAGGGTTGAAAACAATATTACTAATCTATGGCATCGAAGATTAGGACACATGAATTTCAGAGATCTATTCAAAATTTCAAAGAAAGAATATGTAAGGGGCCTGCCCACATTAAGTGGAAAACAAGAAGGAGTTTGTGGTGATTGTCAAATAGGAAAGCAGACCAAAAGTTCACACAATCCCACCAACTTCGCATCCACATCAAAACCATTGGAACTTATGCATATGCTCATCTCAAATTCATTACTCATAATATTAGTAAATTCAGTAACTAGAAAATTTGAGGTAGAACCAAACACAATATCATCCACATAAACTTGAGCAATAACTAAATCACTTTTAACCCGTTTGACAAACAAAGTTTTGTCAATTGCTCCTCTGGTGTAGCCATTTTGAAGCAAATAAGATGACAACCTCTCATACCAAGTCCGGGGTGCCTGTTTCAAACCATACAATTCTTTCTTTAGTCGGTAAACATGATCAGGATAAAAATGATCTTTGAATCCAGCTGGCTATTCCACGTAAACTTCTTCCTGCAAGACTCCATTCAGAAACACACTTTTGACATCCATCTAGTACAACTTGATCCTGAGATGGCATGCAATTGCTAGCAGCAATCTTACTAATTCCAATCTTGCTATGGGAGCAAAAGTTTCATCAAAGTCGAGTCCTTCCACTTGAGTGTAACCTTGAGCAACCAATCTAGCTTTATTGCGAATTACCTTCCCTTTCTCATCAGTCTTGTTTTTGAAAATCCACTTTGTACCAATAACATTTGCATCCTTAGGCCAGGGAACTAAGTACCAAACATCATTCCTTTCGAATTGGTTTAACTCTTCTTGAATAGCTAAGATCCAATCATTGTCAACTATGGCTTCTTTGACATTTTTTGGCTCAACTTGAAAGACATAACACAAGTAGCTTATTTCTTCAACATCTTGACTTCGAGTTCTCATTTTATCATGAAGCTTCCCAATGATGTTTTCTGGCTTGTGATCTCTTTTTACTTGCTTAGCTCCAGTTCTAAGTGTTTGAGATGATGTGTCATGGATGTCTTATGAGTTTGTGATACTGAAAGCGTCATTCGCTGCTTGAACTTGATCACACCTATGCTCTGTTTGCATTCCAGTAAGATCATCATCATCATTTATCTGTTTGACCTGCTTCAAATCAGAATCATTAATCACAACATTTATAGACCCCATTACAGACTTAGTTCGAATGTTGTAGACCCTATATGCCTTGCTAGTTAAAGAATAACCAAGAAAAATACCAATGTCACTTCTAGAGTCAAATTTAGAGAGATGTTCCCTATCTTTGTATATATAACATGTACTCCCAAAGACTCTCAAATGACTCACATTAGGCTTCTTTCCTTTCCAAAGTTCATAAGGAGTTGCTTTTGACTTTGGTCTTAAATAAACTCTGTTAGCAGTATAGCAAGCAGAACTTATAGCCTCAGCCCAAAAATGTTTTGCCAAATTTGCAGAATTAAGCATTACTCTACTCATGTCAAGCAAGACTCTATTTTTCCTTTCAACCACCCCATTTTTTTGAGGTGTAATAGGAGCAGAAAACTCATGTGAAATGCCTTGTTCATCACAAAATTCAGAAAATAGATGATTTTCAAATTTTGTCCCATGATCTGTCCTTAGTCTAATGAGGTTATCATGTTTTTCATTCTGAATTTTCATGCATAAAACAGAGAAAGATTTAAATGCTTCAGATTTATCATGCAAGAAAGCAACCCAGGTAAAGCGAGTAAAATCATCCACAAGAACTAGTATATACTTTTTACCTCCCAAACTTAAAGTTTGCATTGGACCAACCAAGTGATAAACAACTTGCTGATATCTTCACAAAACCACTGGATAATAATCGATATGAACATCTCAGACAATCCATTGGTGTGTGCTCCATTGCTTGACTGTGTAGTTCTCAAAATGCCAGTAATGCATGTCTTTCGTCTGCATATGTGTCTTTCCATATATACATATATAAATTTCTTTTTAATCCCTCTGGGCTGCTACGATTCTTTTGATCTCGGATTGGATTACTATTATGGTTTCACTGCTCCATTAGATATAAGGTGGTATTTTATCTACCAAGAACCTGATATTGATATTCCTTATTTTGTCTGTTTTGTCATATCTCAATTTCTCACTATCTCAAGTGTTTGTGGGGGTACGAATTCATGATCAATCAATACCTTGCTGATTAGTGGGGCACTTACGCTAGTTTTTTCTCATTCTGGTTGACCTTAAGCACTTGAAAAAAAAAAGAAAAAAAAAAAAGGGAGTGCATGTACTGAAATTACAATTTTTTTCATTTGGTCTCTTGTCTACGCCTTGCAGTAGAAAGTTCAACGTTGCAAGGCACACAACGAAGATATGTAACTGTCTCACCGTTGTGACAACCGCTAGCAATACTGTGTCTCAAATAAATGATGCAAGGCACACAACGAAGATATGTAAATGTCTCACCGTTGTAACAACCGCTAGCAATAATGTGTCTCAAATAAATGATGCAAGGCACACAACGAAGATCTGTAAACGTCTCACCGTTGTGACAACCGCTATCAATAATGTGTCTCAAATAAATGATGCAAGGCACACAACGAAGATCTGCAAACGTCTAAACGTTGTGACAACTGATAGCATCTGTATCAATTATTAGTTTGGTACTCTCATTTCATTGCTTTAATAGAAATTTACAAAACTGCCAGTTTGTGGACAAAATAGTTGGTTTGTATGGGCTCTTTTAGTTCGTAAGGGGTGTTGAATATGGTTCCTTAATCCCACACTCTTGAGACACACTTACACCACCTCACACAAGCTGTTTAAAATTCTCATACTCTTTCCTTGGTTTTCTAGTTTTTAAATTTCCTCTTATCTCCTGTGGCTTTAGTTAAACTAAATGGACTATCCTGTATGCTGTGCCTAAGAGGAACTAGTATTGCCCTTTGGGATTGTCATTCTATTTCTATTTATCTCATGCATATCTATCTCTTTCTCTCCTTACTGGCAATTTGAACTACCATTAACTGGCATGGCATACCTTAGCTCTATGATCACTGATCCGCTGCCTTTGATCTTTGTTCATTGGTTTCTTTGGCTTTCCCTTGACAAAAAGGGGGAGTAGTAATATGTTTTGTGTTTGTTAGATTTAGGGGGAGAATATGTTCTGTAGATCTTTTAAATTCTTCTGCAAATATATCTTTTGTGCTTCACCGGTAGTTTGTGCTTGTGCAGATAAATGCTCTGGAATTGCTATTAGTTCTTTTTGATTGGGAATTTTGTCTAGGAAATGCCAAAGGGGGAGATTGAAAGTGTACTTTTAGTTGGCTATTTCCTAGCAAATGTAAAGAGTCTGTAAGTTGGTCATTCCTAGTCTTAGAATTAATTGTAAC